GCATAGGTAAAATACCTCTTTATTACAAACTTCAGAACACTTTATTCTACCCAGCTGTGTTCTTTATGAATAAAACCTGACTGCAGACATTTGCTTCACACAATTTGCGAATATAAACTGATTCATAATATGGCAGTTAATGTAGGTTATTTACAAACTTGTTTCACAAATGCATCTTTTTTCAAGGTGATGACCTCATGACTTTCATCTTGCATTTTAAGCAATTATCTTTCCATGGCCAAGGTTGACTAATTTTTTTGGCATTGCTGCCCTTGACAGTTCCCTGGACATGAGCTACATAATCTTGAATTGCTTTATCCATTTGTGGCCACCAAACATAGCCTCTTGCTCGCTGCTTCATGCGCACGACACCTGGATGGCTCTCATGCAGGATCTTTAGCATTGTAAGTTGCAGATTCTGAGGTATGATTACTTTATTGCCCCATCGTAGGCATTCAGCATTCGTTACAAGCTCACATTTTCTTACGAAGTACTGTTGAAATTTACATGATACTTTCTTTGGCCATCCAGCCTGAACATATAAGAAAATCCGAGATAGTCCATCACCGTGATTCTGGCTATCACTGTAGTAGATATGCTAGTTTGTGGCCCATGTATTTTAATTATTTGTATGCCCCTCGGTAGGTGTTCTCCTATTGGTAATCTGGAGAATGCATCTGCATTACCATAAGCATCATGTGAGCTATATCTGATGGGATAAGTATAAGCTCCCAAGAATAAAGCGTAACTTTGTAAGAGGCAGTTGTTGTAGATATTCCTTGTTGAGGGTTGAGAATTGACAGCAGAGGTTTCTGATCAGTAATTAGTGTGAAATCCTGATCACAGATTTATACATGAAATTTTTTGGTGGCCCACACACTAGCTTAATGCCTTTTTATCTATCTGCAAGTAGTTTTGACCTACTGAAATTAAAAACCTGGAACAATGTGTGTGTGTGTGTGCCTGTGTTTGTTAGTGTGTCAAATCAGCAAGTTTGTGTGTACCTGTCAGTGAGTGTGTCTGTTTAGGGGGGCTGTCACGTGGGAAATGTATGTTTACTCTCCTCTAAGTGAAATGGGTCACTTGACTGGAATTGTTCCCCAGGCCTAAGGCTGCCAGCCCTCCCCTGGCTCCCATTTTAGGTAACTATACTCACGATATTTTTTGAATGTTTGTTTAATAAAAGGAATTTTTAGCAGTAAATATTAACCTTTTACATCTCATTTGTATTGCATATACCGGACTCCACTGGAATTGGTGGATATAAAGCCAGGATTGTGGATTTAATGAATTTTTTTCATTTTTTAAATGAATTTTTCCAAGGACTATTTCTAAACCCATCTGAGGTTTTAGAGACTTATTATTTTTGATGCATATTTTTGCTACCTTATCTAACTGTTGCAATTTATTGTGCATTTTGTATAAATATACTGTTACACTATTGCATTGCCATAGTATTCTAAGCTGTGTCTGCATTAAATGCATAGAGAGTAGGGTATACTTTTATTTTTCTGTCTTTTCAGTATTTAATAGGTTAATAGGTAAATAGGTTACCTATTTGTTTACCCTTCTCTCCCCTTTTAAAAAAATGTTTTTCCCAGAAGGCGCTCCACTTGACGCACAGATTATTTAAGGTCCCCACCAGCAGCTCATAGGTGGGGACATGGGGTGGACATTAGGTCCCCCCCATTACTTATTTATTTAGGGTCCCCACCCACCACTCATGGGTGGGGACCTGGGGGGGGACATTATAAAAAAAAATGAAACAAAATATATATATATACATACATATATATTTTTTTAAGTCTGTATTACTGGTCCTCAAGATGGCTAAGCTTAACAGTCGGTGAAGAAAACCAAAATAGTCAGTGAAGAATAACAAGACTGGCAATGCTCAGACAGAGGTCGAGAAACAGAGAGATGAGGATGAACTGTACAACTAGACAAGGTAAGAGAATGGCGAGATTAGAGTAAATGAATGTATAAGCCAGGTCGAATGACAAAACAGATAGTAATTAAGGAACGTTCTATTTGGGTCTAAGAGAATAAGAGAATCACAACGGGGTGCCAGGCTACTGAAGAAAGAGGTTTAAATACACTGACATTAGAAGCTATTGGTTTGCATCATTTATGTGTGCCCAAAAAGTCAGTGAATAATGGAGTACTTGCCACCTGGATTTGGGCACATGAAGGACCAGGCTGTGCTCTAGTATAAAAGCCTGAATTAGCGCAGTGTTCAGCTTCCAAAATGATGCCCAAAGGACATGCAGCACGCCTACACACAGAAGGCGCAAAAATTCAACACAAAGCCTTTCACTGGTTATTAGGCAACCAGTAGCGTCTTCCCTTCATTATCAGTGTTGCCATTGGAGACAATAAGTGTCAGCCAATGAACTAAGCACTTTCAGTAAACAGAGCTCTGACTGGTGTTGCTTACATTAGCTAACATCAGCTGATAAACTAGTCAATAATTATCTGGTACATCAAACACATCACGCTTCACCACTTTAGTAACCTCCCACTATTATTATTTCCTACACTGAATAAACTGAATCAACCATACTTGAGTTATGTTCTTTTAGCATCCTGTCATTTGAGCTGTGTAGTGTGCTGGTGTCTTTTCTGTGTGCTGGCTTGTGGGTGTAATTGATGTCAGCCAAAGTCCAGATCGTCTTAAATATTCCTAAGCACACCTCGATCTTAATTTTGAGCCCCCAAAAACCCTATACCAGGGATGCCCAAAAGGTAGATCCCCAGATTTTGAAGAACTACAACTCCTCTGATGCTTTGTATGCCTTTAAATAGCTTTTAGAATGACAATGCATCATGGAAGCTGTAGGTTTAAAAAAATCTGGGGATCTACCTTTTGGGCACCCCTGCCCTATACCTAAATTCCTGCTAATCAAAAAAAATCTTTCTTACCATAAGTCCTCTGACCCCCAACTCTTCCTGTGACATTTAAAAAAAAAATTCAAAAAATTCTTATGAAAGCAGTTCCATTCAAAACCATTATAATTTCAAAATGGTAGTTTATAACTACTGACAATTTCAGCCTTCAGTCAACTAATTTTTGAGTCTGTGTAAGTTTGTTTGAACGGAACCCAGGCCTGGATTTGCCATAAGGCTGCAAAGGTCATGGCCTCAGAGCTACACTTGCCCCAATCAGCTGTCATTAAGTGTTCTTGCAGAGCAAGACCACTTAATGTTATCTCACATATACAGGGAGTGCAGAATTATTAGGCAAATGAGTATTTTGACCACATCATCCTCTTTATGCATGTTGTCTTACTCCAAGCTGTATAGGCTCGAAAGCCTACTACCAATTAAGCATATTAGGTGATGTGCATCTCTGTAATGAGAAGGGGTGTGGTCTAATGACATCAACACCCTATATCAGGTGTGCATAATTATTAGGCAACTTCCTTTCCTTTGGCAAAATGGGTCAAAAGAAGGACTTGACAGGCTCAGAAAAGTCAAAAATAGTGAGATATCTTGCAGAGGGATGCAGCACTCTTAAAATTGCAAAGCTTCTGAAGCGTGATCATCGAACAATCAAGCGTTTCATTCAAAATAGTCAACAGGGTCGCAAGAAGCGTGTGGAAAAACCAAGGCGCAAAATAACTGACCATGAACTGAGAAAAGTCAAGCGTGCAGCTGCCACGATGCCACTTGCCACCAGTTTGGCCATATTTCAGAGCTGCAACATCACTGGAGTGCCCAAAAGCACAAGGTGTGCAATACTCAGAGACATGGCCAAGGTAAGAAAGGCTGAAAGACGACCACCACTGAACAAGACACACAAGCTGAAACGTCAAGACTGGGCCAAGAAATATCTCAAGACTGATTTTTCTAAGGTTTTATGGACTGATGAAATGAGAGTGAGTCTTGATGGGCCAGATGGATGGGCCCGTGGCTGGATTGGTAAAGGGCAGAGAGCTCCAGTCCGACTCAGACACCAGCAAGGTGGAGGTGGAGTACTGGTTTGGGCTGGTATCATCAAAGATGAGCTTGTGGGGCCTTTTCGGGTTGAGGATGGAGTCAAGCTCAACTCCCAGTCCTACTGCCAGTTCCTGGAAGACACCTTCTTCAAGCAGTGGTACAGGAAGAAGTCTGCATCCTTCAAGAAAAACATGATTTTCATGCAGGACAATGCTCCATCACACGCGTCCAAGTACTCCACAGCGTGGCTGGCAAGAAAGGGTATAAAAGAAGAAAATCTAATGACATGGCCTCCTTGTTCACCTGATCTGAACCCCATTGAGAACCTGTGGTCCATCATCAAATGTGAGATTTACAAGGAGGGAAAACAGTACACCTCTCTGAACAGTGTCTGGGAGGCTGTGGTTGCTGCTGCACGCAATGTTGATGGTGAACAGATCAAAACACTGACAGAATCCATGGATGGCAGGCTTTTGAGTGTCCTTGCAAAGAAAGGTGGCTATATTGGTCACTGATTTGTTTTTGTTTTGTTTTTGAATGTCAGAAATGTATATTTGTGAATGTTGAGATGTTATATTGGTTTCACTGGTAATAATAAATAATTGAAATGGGTATATATTTGTTTTTTGTTAAGTTGCCTAATAATTATGCACAGTAATAGTCACCTGCACACACAGATATCCCCCTAACATAGCTAAACTAAAAACAAACTAAAAACTACTTCCAAAAATATTCAGCTTTGATATTAATGAGTTTTTTGGGTTCATTGAGAACATGGTTGTTGTTCAATAATAAAATTAATCCTCAAAAATACAACTTGCCTAATAATTCTGCACTCCCTGTATATTATTCTTATTCTTATAAAAGCTAAATTTACCACCCTAACTCCTCCCACAGTTTTTACACTACATAGACAGTAATATACCGAAACGTGCGGATTGTTCCCGATCAGATTGCCATTACTTTGTGGAATGTTTCGCCAAATGGTTCACGGAATATAGTCGTTCTTGTGGCGAAATTGGTCCCATAGGAATTAATGGCAAAATGTTCAAAACTAGAGTGGGAGCTGGCAAAAGCTGAAAAATCAGGACATGATTTCTAAACTGCCACCACTCCCTCATTTTCAAGCCCACCTACACAAATCTTAAATCAAAACGTTGAGCTATCCCTGCTGCCACTAAAAATGTCCACAGCTAAGCCATAGTCCTGATAGTTTTCACGATATGGCCATTTGTTTGCAACTCACGCCGTCCATTGACATTCATTGAATCTCCACTCCAGCCAGCTTAAATTTGAAGGGCAATTTCTAAACTGCGACTGTGCCTTCATGTTTAATACTTCAGAGACATACTATGCATCAAAATGTAGGTCTGGGTCTTGTGATTCTCACAATTTAAAGCTCTTCGCTGTAGGATGTATAGTTTTTAAAATACGACCGTTTGAAGATGGCAACCGCCAAAATACTCTGACCTGTGCCAGGCTGGAGCAGCAAGTGATGTCATAGACAGGGCCTTTTGTACACCTGCTAATGTTTTTATAAATGTATGTTTTAATGTAACTGTGAAGCACTTTGGGCAACAAAGTTGCAATTAAATGTGCTATATAAATAAATAACAGTTAATACGCCCACTCCAGTTGTAGACTACTGGTGGAGGCAAGAACACTTCACACAATTTCCCCAGAAATTGTAGCTTTTCTAGTTTCTTTATGCATTTCTTTTAGTCTGGTGCCGGTCGATTTGACTGGCACTATGTCAATCAGTGCAGCCCCAGGGCAGTCTGTTACAATTACCCCCTATGACAGAGGCACCATCTGTGGTGCAAGGCAAAAGAGACCAGGAGCAGCGTGATGTGGCCAATTCCCAATGTCCATTGCTGCAGACAGTGTCTTGTATCCTCTCTGTGTGGCGCACTGTGTGTGTGAAGAGGGGAAGTGACATCACATTCCTCCACTCACTCCTTACATGCAGAGTACTGTGAAGTACTGGAGAGACACAAGGGTGGAAGTACGACAGCAGAGGGTGTATTTGTTTGTTGTTCTATGTTTGACTGTATCTATGAGCCTGTATGAGACTTTTACTTTGAATACTTTGAATGAATCTCCCCCTCCACAGCTCCTATCCCCCACATCCTTAACCACACACTACAGCTGCTACAGCTTCCTATTCCTGCCAAACACACACACTACAGCCCCTATCACCTGCATGCATTCACTACAGCTTCCATTTACCACACACACAAACTACATCACCAATTCCCCACACACACTACAGTTCCAGTTTTCTCCCAAACACACACTACATTCCCAATTTCCCTCCAAATACACAATACCGCTTTCAATTTTTAAATTTCCCAAAACACGCACTACAGCCTCATATCCCCTCAAACACAAACTAAAGCCTTTATCCTCTAAAGCACACACAGTAGAGCCCCTATCCATATACAGCTCCTATTTACATGGATGCACACATACTATATCACAAACAGCCCCATCCACACGCAGTCCCACAACAACCTCGCTCTTACACATGCAACACTGCAAGCAGCCTCCCCCCCTCACACACAACCATAAAAGCACGAACGTGCTAGCAACATTCCCCAAAAACAAGCAACACCACATGTAGCCTACCCTCACAAATCCAACACAAGAAGCAACCACCTGCATACACATGCAACCTTACAAGCAGCATTCTGTAAATATACAGTTGTAATCAAAGTTATTCAACCTCCAATGAAAATCAGGTTTATTTTCAAAATGTACAGACTGTCAGCTGTTTGCAACGACAAATCAAACGAAAGTAATTGAAATAGCTCAACACAATGAATGCTTCACTTTCCCAAAATGTAACTGAAAATGCAACTTATTATTGCTTCTCCAGTCTCAAAATTATTCAACCCCTTCATGACACTCAAAAGCACAAGAAACATCAGCACCATTTTCATAGAGCACCAGTAAACCCTGGCAGGTAATTATTGCTGTTTATTAAAAGTTCAGTAATTACCACTGCAGGGTTAAAGGACCCGCAGCACTGCACCCAGACCACTTCAAGAAGCTGAAGTGGTCTGGGTGCCTATAGTGCCCCTTTAACTGTAGACAGAGTGTTCTTTAGCAAATGCTTCATTCTTCTTCCTCCAGACATACCACTGATCCATTGGGCCATAGCATTTCAGTTTTGTTTCATTACTCCACAGAATAGAATCCCAAAACTTCAGTGGCTTATTTATATGATTTTGATCATGTTGGAGATGACTTTCCTTGTGCTTTTGGGTCAGTATTGGTAGTATTGGCATGCAAACCCTTTGCCTTTAGTACATGCCTTAGTGTGCTCACTGAAACCTCAGTGTCTGTTATGACCAAGTCTTGCTGCAGGTCTTTTGCACTCAGTCAAGGGATGTTCACAACCTGCCTTCTCAGAAATCTGGTTGCAGCCATTGATAGCTTCCTTTTTCTGCCTTGTCCAAGTAGTGTAACCACTGTTCCTTCAACTTTAAACTTGCAACTATGGAACATTCAGTTGTATCCTGTTCCTTGTTTGTGAAGGGCGGTGATCTCTTAACTTTGTGCACCATTCCTTTGACTTGTTTTTCAAGTGTTCCACCTCAAGAACAACTGGTGCAACTAATAAAGCCATTGATTAGTTGCATAAGGTAGTATGCTTGTGACCACACCTGTTTTGTATAGTTGTGCTGTTGTGAGTGATTCTATTAATAAATAATTTTGAATGAATAATTTTGAGACTGGAGAAGTCATTATAAGTATCTTGTTTATCATAAGTATTTTTTTCCCTGGGGATCCCCCTGCCAGCTCTCATGCTGCCCGCAATTGCGGCACCCTCCTGGGCTTCACCACACTCTCCCCCCCACCTGCCTTCCCGGCTCCTGTCGCAGCTCCCGTCTGCTTTCCTGCACACCATGAGCGGCACACAGACCGCTTGCGGTTTTAGTTTGGACCTCCGCAGCTCCACACGGCGGTCAGCGATTGCAGCTTGTGGCCGCGGCGGCCATTTTTTTACTGTCACGGCTGCTCCCCCACGTTCCGGGCAGCCTGGACCTCTGGTTCCTCACCTCCCCACTGCCCCTACGTGCTAGCTGTGCTGCCGGCCCCCTTATACACCAATTTGTTTTTTCTTGCAGGTTTTAGGCCATTTGGGCCCCAGGTGGAGGTAGGCATCTGGCCTGTTATGTTACTATATTACAGGACACTGCCCTGTCTAACATTACTGCCCTCTACTGGGGCCTGCTGTGGTGTCAGTGACACTTTTTGGGTTGGGTAACAGCACTGCTGGACCTATAGTGTCCTATTATAATCATACTGAGGGTGACCCCCTCCCGCTAACTGTACTGCTGGACCTACAGTGTCCTGTTATAATCATACTGAGGGTGACCCCCTCCTGCTGACTGCACTGCTGGATCTACAGTGTCCTGTTATAAACATACTGAGGGTGACCCCCTCCCACTGACTGCACTGCTGCACCTACAGTGTCATGTTATAATCATACTGAGGGTGACCCCCTCCCCTGCTGGCCTATGCTGCATGGTATGCTTGTGCTTGTCGGGTGACCCCCTCTTGCACGCTGTTGACACACAGCTGGCCTCACCAGGTACCGCATTGACAGTGTTTTACATCTATGGCAGTGATACAGTCATGACTGACGAAGCAGATTTCTGTGCCCCAGAAGGTCTCCAGGCCTAGTTTTGTGCTGCCAGAGTGGACTCATTGCCCAAAGCCCTCACTGCCTTCCATGGTGACACTCTACCGGCCACCCTGGACCCTGCACCTCAGGTGCTCGGGGCTCCGACTCGGGCGTTTCCCTCTACTCTGTGGATATGGGCTTCGCACGTAAGAGACGTTGGAAGGGGCATGGCAAACCAATAAAGGGGAAGCTGCCTGACAAGTTAACCAAGATGGCCTCTGGATGGCCACCGGTGGAGGAGGGTTTTGACATCCTGGATGAGTACCGGGCCGACAGCTCTGGTGCCGCATCCCCCAGTGAGGATTTTTTCTCAACGGCCATTCCCACTACGCGTGGGAGATGGTAACAGACTCTCCTCTGACTGATCACCAAAGGGTGAGCCAACCACCGCTGATGACCCCGAGGTGAGATCCTGGATCCTTCTGGCCATCCCCTCTTTGATCCACGGCTCATTAAACACCCTTGTTCCTTGTAATGGGCTCCTCCAGACCACATTGCAGAACTCCTGCGTTACTGGCTCCACCATCCCTTGGATAAGGAGGTCAGAATGAAACTTCGGGGGGAATGCCCCCGCCCAACGTTACCAGACAAAGTGGCTCTTACTCCCGATTTCGACCCAGCGCTTGCCAGCTTCACTAATAACTCCGGAAAAGGCCCTGCAAAGACCTGGAAAGGGGCTACGCTCTGCCCAAGACAAACTGCTGGATGTCAGTGGCACGTTGACACAGATGTTACTCATGGCGGATGTCGCTCTACAAGGAACACGATGGATGCTAAATCTTCTACGAAAATGGGCCCAACGAGCCATCTGTGTGTTTATAAGGAAACGCCAATGTGGCCCTATCCTCTGAACGCCACAGAGCGACCCTTTACAAGCTGGACGGCAAGTTGGCGGATTTGGCATCCAAGGAATTGGGTCCTGATGCCTAAGGTCTACTCTTCGGGGATGCCTTCACGAAGGAGTTAAACGGACACATTTCTATTTATACGTCTCTGAACTAGGAACAGATGTCTCTCAGACCGTGTCCAATTTCAGGATCTATTTTGTCGAACCTCTGAAACAGGTCACCGCTTCACGGCCGATACGCATGGCCAAAGAGGCTTCCGATCTGGTTCATTCAGAAAATGTATCCCCACTGGACAAGGGTGCAGTGGAGAAGGCGACAGGCCACCTCACTTCTTGTGATATCTTCCTTGTAAGGAAGAAGACAGGGGACTTCCGCCCTGTTATCAATCTGCATGCCCTCTACGCATATGTCGTCTATCGACATTTCAATATGGAGGGCATCCATCTCCTCAGAGACCTGCTCTGCGAGGTCACGGTCCTGATCTGTCTGCTTCAGGACCTGGGATTCGCCATCACTGTGGAAAAATTGGAACTGACTCCCTCTCGGTCAGTTTAGTTTCTGGGTTTCGTGGTAGATTCGATTCAGGCAGTGCTCTGTCTTCCGATGGCCAAGGTGACAACCATCAGGAAGGATATCAGACGCCTGCTCCACAACCCGCGGGTCACATTAAGGGACCTGGCCAGAACGATAGGCCTGTTGTCATCCTCCATTCAAGCCATCTTTCCAGGACTCTCGGGCACTCCAATGCCTGAAGGCTCGCCATCTCAAGTCATCGGCCTCGTACGACAGTCGTGTGGCTTTGGGACAAAGCTGTCTGGAACTTCATTGGTGGATTCAACATATGGAGGCCCGGAACGGCAAGGCGATTTTTGGACCTCAACCAGACTTCGTCGTGAAATCAGACGCCAGCTGTATGGGTTGGGGCCCTGCTTGCAATGGCATGGTGGCAGCAGGACTCTGGACTCCAGAGGAGAG